TTTCTTTTTGGGAGGGTGGCTATTTGCTTGTTTCAGGGGCTGCAAGGGATGGGCTGTACTATTTGTCATGCACTGACTATACATGTCATCATTGCATTGCCGTAGCATCGCTAGTTCTATGCCTTACATACAAAATCTCTGTGCCCAGTAACCACGTATCGAAGAAAACCTGTATGAACAAAATAAACAGCCACTTAGAGCTTGCTCTGCGGCGTTGCCGTGTACAACGACTGGTTCCGCTGCATCGACTCCAGGGCCTCCTTCTCAATACGCTGGAGCAGCTGTGCACAGGTGGGAATATCATGGATCAAACCAATGACTTGGCCGGCAGTCCAGACCTAAAATGGAACGGTTAGCAAGGATTCGACACGTTTCCCCGGAAATACCGAAGGGAGAGTGAAAGACGAAGCAAAAAGAGGATACACATACTCCGAAATCGACGTCACCGTTCAAGAAGACCTCCCTACCCCTCTTGCCACTGACGAACGGGGCAACGTCGCTGAACTCTCCAGACTTGCTCTCCTTCTCCACCTTCAGGGCCTCCTTCGAGACCTTATTGGCGAACAGCGAGTTGTGTTCTTCCACCGTCTCAGCACCAGGGCGGTGTCTGTCTCCTCGGCCTTCACGATGGCCTCCTTCACGTTGTGGTGGATGGGGGCCTCGATCGTGCACATGAACCGCGTGCCCATGTTGATTCCCTCGGCGCCGAGCGACAGGGCCGCGGCCAGGCCGTATCCATCCGCAAATCCGCCCGATGCGATGAAGGGCACGCCCAGATCCTGACGGGCACGGTTGAGGAGGATGAAGTTGGTAATGTCATGTTCGCCGACGTGGCCAGCGCACTCGAAACCGTCGATGGACAGGAAGTCAACGCCCAGCTTGACGGCGGATTTGGCGTGACGGATGGTCGTGCACTTGTGCAGGATAGTGGTGTTGGCCTTCTTCAGTTGATTGATCACCGGACCGGGGTTGTTTCCGGCCGTCTCGACAATCTTGACACCCTCATCGATGATAACCTGGGCGTACGCAGCGTAGTCTGGGGGCACGAGAGCAGGGAGGAGAGTCAGGTTGACACCGAAGGGCTTCTTGGTCATGGAACGACATTTCCGGATCTCTTTGCGGAGGTCTTCGGGGGTTGGTTGGGTAAGGGCAGTGAGCTAGATAGTCAGCGATACTGTTTCCATTTGCTTTCACATGTGATACGTACGATTCCCAGGCCTCCAGCGTTGCTGACGGCGGCTGCAAGTTCAGCGTATCCAACCCATTGCATACCACCCTGGACGACAGGAACTGCGAGCGGTTAGTTAGGCACCAATGTATCTGGGGGTGAAATCTTTGGTACCTGTGATGCCCAGCTTTCTTGTTAGTGCAGTATTGAAGCCCATTTTGTTCTTGTTCTAACTGTATGTGACCGAGTTTGAGCGTATGTACTTCTAAACAGCGACCGACTCGACGGTAGCTCCAATGATTGATATGTACAGAGAATATATAATCTATCGGTGAAGGGTATCACGAACAACAGGCTATTAAAGGAGTGGTCTTCAGATCAGCAAAGGAATGCGACTTCTTTGTACCCGCGGATTTATCTGCCGTGGGGGAAGAGTTGCCGAGGTTCGTGGCCGACCGACGGTCGGGTCGGCGAGATTAGTATTCAGGACGGCCCCTGGGGAAGAACAAGAATGCGGGGGAATGCTGCAAGTTGATAGCTGGGGAAATAATCCTTAATGACCGATGACATGGCGGTATGCTTTGCATAACATGGGATGATCCTTACCATTCGTCCCCATTGCATGTCCAATGTTGTTGCGAATATCATCCCCGCATGTGATACGCGGTGACTTTATGAATGACTCGTGTAGCACATGATTTCCTTAGCCACAGTCCCATGACCAGAGCCACAGAAGGAATGTGTGAGCAAGTGCTCGTGTCTACTACTAGTAGGTATGTACCAATACCATATCTATAGCCTCAAGTGGATACAGTGTAACCCCGAAAATATGTATATAGATTCCTTATGGCTGGAGGAATAAGAACGCCATCAATGCATATAGGTATAAGTGAATGCCACCACAAATCAGCAAAAATATCCTAAACCCTTTTATTTTGCTCCCATTTGGCTAGCCAGCCACTGCTCGTGCAGCTTCTTCTGTCTCTCCCAGTCTTTCCGAAGCTTCTTAGCCCGGCTCTTAGCGATCTCCTCGCCAGCCGCATCGCGAGTGGGGAGACCCTCGTCATCCCACGCACTATACTCGTTTGTCCGGAACATCTCCAGGTGGCTGAGCTTGCCCTTCTGCAACCTCTCCAAAGCCTCCTTTTCCTTCTTCTCCTTTTCGAGCTGCTTTTGCTGCGCCCGCTTGGCCTTCTCTTCCCGAGCTTGGATCAACTCGCGAGTCACCGGGCGAACAAGTGCGGGCAAGTTGTCTCGGTCTTCAAGATACACACCGACTTCGAACAAATCGATATCGCGAACACGATCGCAGAGTGCCAAAACCTCCTTGCTAATGTTACTCGATTCCTCAAGTGACGACAGTTTGTTGCGGAAATTGCTCAAGACATCAGCATATGGTTTCGTGGACTCTGTAACTTCTTCCTCAGGAAGAGATTCACGCTCGACGATCTCAGCAATGGTCTTGGCGTTGATTCCTTCCTTCGCCCGTGCGGCTTGTCGCAGAGTGTCACGCATGGAGGACAGTGGGTGAAGGAAAGGCTTGGCCCCTTCCGGGACGTCAATGCCAGACCATCCAATCTCTTGGCTGTCGGCAGCAGCATTGCCGTTAAGGCCGAAAATATTGACCATGGAGGTTATCCACCGGGCCACAGACTCAACATCCTTGGGGTTCACAGTCGATTTGTCGGTGCTGTTGTATTTCGTGATAAGCTCGGAGATGGCATACATGCTCCCGGGGTGTTGAACGAGTCGCACAGGTGCTCATAGACAGCCTTTTGGGCATCTGCCAAAGCAATGGCGAGAGTATCATCCGCGCCGGAACCTTGCAGGGCAGCGGGGTCTTTAACCTTGATGAAGAAATTGTTCACCTTCTCCTCCCACGAACCACCTGCGCTGACAAGGTCATCGGTGATTTCAACGCCATCCTTCCAGCCGCCCAGTAGGAACACGATTCTCAAGCTCCGTGGGGTCCACTCCTTCCTTTCTAAAGCCTCACGATGGTAGTGAAATTCTTAAGAGATTTAGACATCTTAGATCCTTGGATAGACAGGTGTCCCATGTGGAAGAAATAGTTAACCCACTGGTCGTCGTGTGAGTGGCTATGGCTGTCTGCCCAGTAAGCCTCGCTTTGCGCAAGTTCGTTGTCATGGTGAGGGAACGCAAGGTCGACACCACCCGAATGGATGTCCATCTGCTTGCCCAATCGTGCGGAAGCCATGGCAGAGCATTCAATATGCCATCCGGGTCTTCCCCGACCCCAGGAGCTTGCCCAGCTGGGCTCACCAGCTCGAAGCCTTCCAAAGGGCGAAATCAGACGCAGATCGTTTATCTGTTGCTTTCTTTGTCAACGAGCCTTCTCCTTCAGCCAACAGCTTGCTATCCGAACGGTTCCAGGGTTCCAGCCGGGCGTACGGGTGGCCAGCAGCCTCGAAAGCGTTAATATCAAAGTAGACAGAGCCATCGTCCGTAACATAGCCAAAGTTATTCTGCACGATTTTCTCCACGAAATCAGCAATCTCTGCACCATACTCAGTGACTCGAGTAATTTCGGTGGGATCAAGGACGTTCAGATCCCGCATATCCTTCATGAACCGCTCTTCATATCTCTTAGTCAACTTGGTGAATATGCCATGGTCGTCTGCATTGATCGAGGCTCCTTTCAATGTGTCTAGGTACGGTAAAAGGAGATCTTGAGCTTCCGTGTAGAACTTCTCCGCGAAGCCCGTAGGCTGCTCGCCCGAGCGTTCCGCCTCCGCAATCACCTTTGCTGCCGATGCAACGGTCTTGATGTGCATTTTGACCTTCGCTTCATCGTCACCGGCCTTCTCATTGCCCGGCAAGGGCCCTCCATTTAGCACAGTGGCGTAGGTCTTTTCTACTTCACCCTTATATTGAGACGCAGGCAGATCTGGGCTCAGCAATGTCAGGTTCTTCTTGAGGTATGCGGTGTATGCTTTCTTAGCAATGTCCAACACGTCGGCACCGATTGTAGGGTGCTCAGAGGTGAACTCCGTGAACAAGTGTTGCTGTCGGGCTCTAAGGATAATCTGTGACTCATTAGCGCCGTATTCCACCGAGTCGCATAAGCAGCCCAACGCGCAAAGGGCACAGTTCATAGCGTACCTTGTCATCCACGTCCGTGATATTCATGACAAAATTCACATCGAACTTGAAGTAGTCACGCATGATACGCCGAATGATATCGGTGCTAACATAGTTTCTAGCGTGGCCCAAATGGGCGTCGTCGTAGACAGTCGGTCCGCACGCATACCAAGAAACTTTCTTTCCTTCCTTATCGATGGGAATAAAAGGGTTCTTCGAGCGCGTCAACGAGTTCCAAACTTTCAGAGGAGGTAGGCTCTTTTCGGCCTCAGGGTGGAGGGGTGGCTGTTGCCATTGCGGTTGTTGGCGCGCGGTGGCCATAGATCTGGATCTGGAGAGAAGGACCGCGGGGTAAAAGAGCGACAATCGTTGTTTGGACCGGTTGGTGAGGAAATGGGAGACCAGGCGAGGAAGTCGGTGAGAGGTGAGGGGCATCAGGAACGGAGCTACAAAAGAGGGACAAATAATCCAAACTACGGGAGGGGTCACTACCTGGAGGCCAACCTGACAACCAACCTGAGTCAAGTATTCAATGGATGCGCCAGAGGGTTGTCAGCCAATGATAAGCTGGATTTTCAATGCGGTGGGAGCATCGCCCTAATCCCCTAGCCCTGAGCCCTAACCGTTGTCCCAGTCAGGTCTAGATCGGTGACTGCCCCAGAATGATAGAAGCTTTTGAGCTCGTCCGAGATTTTGCGATTGCGAAAGGATATTGAAAGCGCTACACCACACGCAGTCGCAATGCCTTCCCCCTTCCTAACTCCCGGCGCTCAGTCGCAACTCGACAGTCTTGCTCTTCTTCAACTGCGCAGAGATCAGACGATCCCGACGATTCTCCAACTCCATGACGAAAAGAACGCAGGGTATAAGGAAGGAAAAGTCACCAACACCCGCTTCGGCTCATTTCCGCATAGCACGCTTTGCGATCAACCATGGGGTTCACAGATCATCGCATCCAAGGTAGACACGGGATCACGGGGCCGCACGCAGCCCAAGAAGTTGAAGCGGAAAGCGGACGAGCTGGATTCGTCCACCCAGGCCGAAGATAAGCCTTCTCCGCAGACCCCAGTAGCAGCCTCCAGCGGTTTCCTCCACCTCCTTTACCCTACGCCGGAACTGTGGACCGCGTCGCTTCCGCATCGTACTCAAGTCGTTTACACACCGGATTACAGCTACATCCTCCATCGGTTACGCGCGCGCCCCGGAAGCACCGTAATTGAAGCTGGAGCTGGAAGTGGCTCTTTCACCCATGCGTCTGTGCGGGCAGTGTTCAATGGATACCCTTCAGATGATCAACCGATGAAAAAGAGAAGACTTGGCAAGGTTTGCAGCTTTGAATTCCACGCGCAGCGGGCAGAGAAGGTTCGCGTGGAGGTGAACGAGCATGGCCTCGACGGGCTTGTGGAGGTAACACACCGTGATGTTTATGAGGATGGCTTCCTCCTCGGGGACCCAAAGACGGGCAAATCGCCAAAGGCAAATGCGATCTTCCTTGATTTACCTGCTCCTTGGCTAGCTCTTAAGCATCTCGTTCGCAACCCACCCGAGGGCACGGAATCACCGCTTGATCCTACATCACCGGTCTATATATGTACATTCTCTCCCTGTCTTGAACAGGTACAGCGCACTATCAGCACACTCCGCCAATTGGGATGGTTGGGAATCTCAATGGTGGAAGTCAACAACCGCAGAATCGAGGTCAAGCGAGAACGGGTTGGATTAGACTACGAAAATATTCGCGGAACAGTCGTCTTCCCAAAATCTGTCGACGAAGCGGTTGAGAGAACGCGCTCTCTTGAGGAACGCGCCCAGTTGTTCCGTGCAACTCAGAATCAAAGTGACGGCGACAGTACCCCTGCCCCTAAAGCTGAAAACGAGACAAAGGGCGGCGATTCTACTAGCAAAACCGAGACTGATACGCCCGCTCGCCAGCAAGCATCTGAGGTCCCAGTATATAAACAAGGTCGTGTGATGACCCGGTCAGAATTAGACCTCAAAAATCATACATCCTACCTCGTCTTTGCCGTTTTGCCTCGGGAATGGACGGAGGAGGATGAAAAGCACTGCCGTGAGAAGTGGCCGTCAAACCGGGTACAGGAACCGCAGGGACCACAAAAGAGTAAGAAGCAACTGAAAAGGGAATCAAAGGAGCAACGCGACCTGCAAAAGAAGGAGCAAAGGCAACCAGAGACCGAGTCTCAAAAGGAATAGAAGGTATCAGACCCATCTTAGTGAAACCATACTTTTGGGTGTTGTATTGTGTTCTGTTTTCTTGAGTAAATAGCGTTACTTCGCTGATATTCCATGACAGTGGGTTAGAGGTAGACTTGCAGTCATATTCGATAAGTCAACAAAGATTACTAATGACGACGGGGGGTCTCCTAAGAAATATATACACAGATGGCCCTGGTCAGGAAGAGAGAAACAAAAGCCTTGGTTTCATGAAGATGTATATGTACAATATGGATTTATGAACAACCCAGCGCAGTTCGATTTCATGGCATAAAAAAGTAGAAATCCAGACAATGGTGGGTATTGCGTTAAAAAGTAGAGCATTGTTCTAGTCAGCTAGAACAGTAACTACGAGGTTGATTCTTATAGATTATTCTCCGTCTTGAATTTATCCCATGCTTCATTAAGCGTGCCAAACACTGCACCAGCGATCATTCGCTGCTCCGTCGTGGCGTTGGTAGAAATCTGTATCATCAGCTGCTGTGATATGGCATTCTTGAGAATCAGACGTACCTTGTCTGGATGCACCTTTGCAATCCCCTTCATATACTGCACCTTGACCTTGTTCGGCATAATCAGTTCTGACATGTTGATCTTTTTCCATCCAGCCTCCGGCCACAGAACAGTGTCCAAGCTTCCCAAAAGCGCTCGTAGATTGTCCTGTTTGCCGTTCTTCCAGGCAGCTAGTCGAGCATCCACACTTTCTGTAAGAGCGAATTTCTCTTCGTCGGCACGCTCAGCGGCTTTGTTGGCTTCTCGCAACCGACTAACAGCGGCGGAATTCGCAGATGAAGAACTGTCACCTTGCAGTTCATCCAATGCAGATTTCTTAGGTGCAGGAGCCGGTGGCCGCCTAGCAGGGGCTGAAGGTTTCGAAACAGGCTTGCCAATGCCGGCAGCTTTCTCACATCTGTTGCGGCCTTGGATACTGGTGCTACCACCGTGGCCGTTCTCAACCGCCTGCTTCCACGCCTGAGCAGCATCTGCCCATCGCTCTAATTGCTCTAGGGCCTCGGCCTTGCGTATCAAGGCTTTGCCGAAAAAGTCCTTCATCGGTTTACTGGATTCACCGTTTCCGATTTCGATGCTCTCGGCCTCTCCTTTCGAAGGGCCAATCACATCTAGGATAGTGTCTGCATCGCCAATTGCCACCTTAGGCTCACCAACTTTCAGTGCCGTCATGGCGCGGTTGCTCCGGATGATGATAGCAAGCGGATACTTTTCCGGTAACATCGACAGAGCTGCGGAGAAGGCCTCGTGGGCAGCTGCATAATCACCTCTCTTATAAGCTTCAGCCGCCTTTGTCCGATGACGATGCGTGGATGCAAGAGCTTCCGGAGACACCTGAGGAATGACTCGGGGCGGAGCTTTTGGCCGTGCGGGCAGAGGTTTGGATGTAACAGCTGGCCGCTTGGGCTGAGCCGGCGAGGGTGGTGGTCTGGGACGTTCAGCAGGCTGTGGAGCCGGAGAATCAAATAAGTCAACGTTCTGAGCAGGGGCTGGAGATTGTGCGGTTGGCCGTTTTCTTCTCGCTGGGCTAACATATGCTTGTGCTGACTGCTCTTCTACTGCAGATTTAGTCAACCGGGCTCTGGGATCCTTCATCTGGCTTAGTTGTTGTTGTCGCATAAAGGCAGGCTGCTGCATATTTCTGTCACCAACTGGAGAAGGCTGGCTTCGATGGTTATTGCTAAGGGCGCGAGGTGGAGGTCCATCGTTGGACCTTGTCGGCTTGCGTGAGGCACGGGGGTCTACACCGGATTCAAGGAGAAGAGCTTCGTCAGTGAAGCTAGCGGGCTGCTTCTGAGACTGATCAGGAGTGCGCCGGTGCTCCCTAGGTAAGGGCTCCTCGCGGGCAGACGGATCTCTCAACCACCGGGGCTGGTTCGGATCTTGATCAGTGTTCAAGTCATTAACGACTTGTTGAACTTTTTTGCTACCAGTCTTCCACAGCGAGTTTGCTGTTTTCAACAGGTTATTGCCGAAGGCAGCGGCAATCTGCGACGGATCCTTGTCTGCTGTCGAAGGCGACCGATTATCCTCGCGGCGTCTTGAAGAATGGCTTCGCTCCTGTTGCATCCACGATGGCATATCGCGATCCGACCTCTCAGCCCGATCACTGCTCCGGCTCTCATGGCTTGGATAGCGTTCTTGAGCCGTCGGTCTGTTCCTAGACTTTTGTCGAGCTTCTTCGTGTGCCTGCGTGAGAAGCAATGAGACCGCAGCTTGAATGTCAGTTCCAGATGACGTCATGCGTAGAGCTTGACTAGCTTTATCTGCAGGGAATCCCATATCAACAAGCTCCGCAATTGCTCGGTCAGTTCCATTCGACGGCTTAGGGGATGGGGTAGGGTCTGCGCGCTCTGGAGTAGGAGGTTTCGCTGGTGGTTCCGGTCGGCGGACTTCAGAAACGGGCTTAGCCAGCAAGCCCAGGAAATCATCATCGTCAGCCTGTGCAGGTTGCGGCGGCGGAGGATTTGATCTAGGTTTCAACTGGTTAAGACCGAAAGGATCATCATCATCATCCATAAACGACATTCCAGAGGCCTGTGGCACCGGAGAGGATCCATTGGGGGTGGCCTGTGATGGCCTGACGTCTATCCGTGGCGACGGGCTTGGACTAGGTACGGGGAAGTGAGTCGATGCATCAACAGGCGCCGAAGCGTCAAAAGCGGCAAGGAGATCATCTTCATCAGCAGACTGCGCTTTTTGCTGAGTAGAGCTCATGCCAATTGCAGTAGATTTGTTGCCACCCTTCTCAAGGTTATCCCAGAATTGAACATTTTGCGCCCCATACTGTGTTTCGAACCGAGATCGGTTCTCTGCCTCTTTCTTGGCTCTCTCTTCTTGTAGCCTCTTCTGCTGTTCGATAAGGGACAGGTTCTTATTTGGGTTAGACGAATTGAAAGACACTAGATTTGCAAAGCTGTCCTTGTCTGGTGTCGCAGATTTGGTGGGCGGGTTTGAAGCCCCGGAGGAGGCAGAAAGAGGAGTAGATCGGCCAGAGGTGTCATTGCGCCTGACATTCGGAAACAAGACGCCGGAGCTCATAGGTGGGGGTTTACGAGGGTCATTGGATGAAGTGGAATTCCAGTTCAGACCGCTCAGATCGTCCATGGTGTGGTCAATTTAGTACGAATAGGGAGGTGTCTGGGAGGACTGGATTAGGATAGAGGTCGTGGGAGTTAAGTGGTTCCATGGTCTAGCCTCACCGTCAACGATCGAGTGAGCTGATCCTGTTCGCGTGGTAGAACGTCTGGTGTATAGAGGCCCGGATATATTCACAAAGCAAGCATTAATCAAGAACTGGCCACTTGGCACACTGCATTACAGTAAATGTTCTGAGACTGTGTTAACTTCCCCTGGAGATCGAGGGCCGCGGCCGTCATTGTGGCTGAGCAGCTAGTGGGGTGTGGCTGATGAAATTCCAACATGACTAAGTGGCACCTGTTGCCAACTGCAGTAACTTCTGGACCCGTCCATTGGTGCTACTTTGTTCAACATCCTTTTAGCAAACGAACAAACTAGCTGTAGTTACATTGATATCTTTCGCCACCCAGAATACATCTAGGTACGCGAAGGCGCAGCATAGGGAGGGGCTATGAGTGGAGCATATAGGAGTACCAGAGACAAAGATAGCCCTTTGTTACGCCCGACTTGCGTCGAAGGATCTCCTCCTGACTACTCCTACTCTGTAATGTAGAGATAGCAGCTGGGGGGCCATTCGCTTTGCCTTAGCTCACTTTTAGTTGCTTCCTACAGGCTCAGGCACTCCAGTTAATTCATTGTTGCGAGAGTTGCGAGGGAGGTACGGAGTAGATGCAGAAGCATACTAATCCGTTAACACACTGCAAATGCGAAGGTCGTGCGGTTCTCCATCAGGACACAGTAGGGTGCTGGAGTATTTTGAGCTTTCACGAGGAAAGTTACGTAACACTGTAATGTTTAACGCCATTAGGGCGGCAAATTAACTGACAATGTCTTAAGAATCATGCGAGTAACTGTGCTGAAGGGCTTTATTAATTTAAGCTATATGTGAGATGTACATAGCAAGCCACTCTAACAAACATAATTATTGAGTATGTTCAAAGCAGTAGATAAACGCTGAGTGTTGGTGCTGCTTTTTTCATTTGTATCCTGTGTAACTCACATTGCTGACATAAGTTCATTGTGCTAGAATCTCAAAGGTTAGGATGTCATTTACCTCCTCGTCTTTGAGTGTGCTCGCCCCTAACAAAATATGATGGTGGAATTGTAAGATTGGGGATTATCTCTAACTGACAAAGCAGAACGATATGGCCACAAACCATCAATAATCTATCATTATAGTATATACTACTTGCATGGTATTTAACTGGATTATATGCCAAAACTGCTTTCTGGCTTTCAGGATCATCCATATTACAACCATTAGGACTCGAGAAACAACCTGTATGTCATCTCCTCTTAGCGGAGCTCAACACCATTAGCGTGCATACTAGATGATGAGGGCCTCATCAACTTGAAGGAGTTCCTTTGGTGGCTAATAGTCTAGAAGTATTCAATACAAGATTATTATCGCTCTTTATGAAGTTCTCGAAGAGCTCGTGCGCAAATCGATTAAATAGACACAGTATATACATCACGTCAACACTGTACATTGACACGCATGGTACGTGACTCCGCATCACGAGTCGTAGGGCAAGACGAAGTCGTCGAACCTTATCCGAAGTTGCTTTCATCTCGTGTTAGCCCATTTCTTCATTAGAGCGCCAGAAAAAGGCATAACGACACTTGTAATTCCTTGCCCAATATAAAGAAACATGTGTGAGGATAGCATAATAATCTTCTTATAATTGTCCAGTCTACCATTGTTTTTGGTTCGGGATCAGTCCCTGAAGACACTCAACAAACTGCACGGTGGTGATGTAGACATGGAGAACTCCAAGGCTTAAGGATGAGAGGGGAACCAGCGATATCAACAAGGTCAAGCAAAGGTAATGAACCATACACGCTATACTGTGAATATGCTTGGTATCTGATACGGACCCTACAAGCTATGAGGATGGCTCAGCCCCGGCCAATAGAAAGATTATACTGTGTAAATTAGACCCGTGGACGGTTGGGATGTGTAACAGATAGATTAATAGCCCGCCTTAGGGTCTCTCTGTCATGGCTGTCATTAAGACAGACCCGACCAATCAACGCCAGCAGATCATGTGCATGTCATGTGACTAATAACGGCTGGCCCAGGATTACCAGATAATTTGCCAGCTGGCTCAACGATCCAATACAGCCTGGAAGGATCACGGAGCCCGGCTTGCTACGGTTCCTCCGCACTCAATCTGTGACTTGTATCGAGAAGCTACTAGAAAGGGTTGCGTCCGGGAAATATTCTCCGAGATTTCTTCGATATTTATCTTTTGGGTTCTTGGTTTCCCTGGAACCCTGTCAATATTAACACCTACCGACTTCCCCAATTGGCAAGCAGGTTAAGTTTTCTGAGATCATACATATACTCTATCTGCACCTGTCAAGATTCATCCATAGAGTTGATGCATCCAAAATCCTTTGATGCATGACCATTCGAACTTAGCAGTTCGCATATTGCTTTTTACAGGGAGGGACACTTTTCGCCCCCCCCCTCCTTCCTTCGAGTAGACGATCACGCCACTAGTACCCGGTATAGAATATACTACTACTGCATGTAAGAATGGCAGGTACTGGGATATGTATATCAGTAGTAGGGTAGTATCTGGGACTATCTAGATCAAACTAAGGACACCTTCCGGCGTCCCCGCTAAGATGTCCAACGCTGGCGGCGGAGTTTCGGGGGAACTGAGCCGCGGGCGCGGAAAGAAAGTTCCAGGACAGAGTTTAAAACTCAAGGTTGGAAACTCCCGACGTATCCCTGGGCTGCAAAGGAAAGTTAAGCCGTGAAACCGGCAGTACGGCCGGGGACCAATGTCATCGCATTGGCGTTGAGCTGGCTGACGTCTAAATGAATTGCTAGCTAACCCTAAGTGAGGGGTAGGATAATGGTATTATGGTATACCTAAGTACTCACCTAGGGTCCAGAGCTCCATGAGCAGATGTAACAGACATCTTGTGATAAAAGGGTGGCGACACTGTCTGAGTCATTGACCAGCACTGGAGTCAATCCCCACATATGCTTGTTCGGGAGGTTGCTGTAGTATGGAGTAAAATTTCTGACAAGGCAACAAGTTCTAGTATCTATGAGAACTTGGGAGCAATCATACAATACTCGCTTACGGTGGGGCTACTGCACGGTACAGTATTTTCCTTGGGGCGTGGTAGGTGCTTCCTATGAGCACCCAAGTTGCCCCCAAAGTTCCTAGATTATATCTAACTTTTTAAAATTTTTGTTAGTTAGCTAGGGCATCCATGAAGAAAAGGTGACTAAGAGTACGTTGTAACTATGGAGTGTAGGGTTTTGTGCCAAGGTCTCAAACAAGAAGGTTCCAAATCAATACCTGGTCACACATGGGAATCGGTAGTACAGTACCAGAGACATTTCGATTGTGGTCGATCCAGACATCGGTACTTGATGAAGTTCTTTTGAAGTGGCGGATTTGTCCTCATTGTCTGATCATAAGAGCTTTGTTAGGTTTATTCATTGTCATGTGAAAAGACGAGTGCCGTGACCCAGAAGTATAGTGGATATGTTATCCTGTATGTACCTTACTATCAACACCCTGTGGAAGATGAGTGGATTCCAGGCTACTGCTTTAAATACAATATCGGGCATACCATAGAGATAGTATCATTACCATATCTATCTGAAAAGCAGGGGCCAATAGAGAGAGTACGTGTGTTCGGGAAGTTCCTTGTGCCTTGCAGAAGATAACCTATCGTAAAATGGACAGGGGCCAAATGAGGGGAATGGTTCTTTTGGCTCGAGAACCAGTCCGAGATTAGGTGATTGTGGACGGTATTAGCTGATCCACAGCCGTTTGGGAATCGAAGAGGGGGTAGGATCATTGCTCTCCTCCGGACAAATATGTGGTTTTTAATGTACGGAGTAAATGACGGTGCGGACATGGCCCAGCGAGGAATCTAGATCCGCATGCCTGGGAATGGCGAAGGACCCGAAATGGCTCTGTGCGCGAGTTTGGTACACTGTCCGTGCTCCCATCTAAGTATGAGGGGCTCTCCTTTTTTTTCCCACAATCTCCTCACTTTTTCTTAGTATTTCTAAAATTTTCTTAAACATTTCTTTGGGACATCGATCTCGGCCCCGGGAGGGGGACTCCATATTAATAATAGCATTCCATCAATAACTTAACTAATAGTAATAGTAATAATAAGACCCAGAAAAATATAAACGACAGCCAATCATTGGCACCCAATGCAGGGTAATCAATGGATTCGATGTATTGTGGGATGGTAATTTTTGTTTTCTTACCATACTACTACATGCATCACTCACTGCTTAAGATATTATCCATATAGGTCTATTGCACCGACCAGGCTCCGTTTCAGCATAGTACTTACATATATCTCATGCATACCTCATCCTACTGGTGAGAAAGGTCTTACGCATGAGCAATCAGGCTAAATTCCATACTCAGGACTGACAGGAGCTCTTACTGGATTCAGTATGCCGTGAACAGCGAACCGACAGAACACGGTACAGGCAGGATATTAGTCAATTTAGGTAAATAGTAATAAGAACTTCGGCCCTGTGGCCTGCGGGGCAAAAGGGAAATTTTCTTGACGATGATTGTTTTCTGCCCCTAAACTTCCTCACTAAATCACCAACTAATTAATTAGATTAAAGACCGACCATGGTAACAAGTACAATAGTCTTATACATATCAACGCTAAATCGGCCGTGCTAGTGCGACCATCTGCCAGACTGGAAGCGCTCTCCAAAGCTCCCCACCTTCCGACTCCGAGGCTCGACTAGACTGAAAGTTATACATAGTACGCCCTGGACAACCTCCTTTTCGTTCCAATAATGTCCTGGAAATTTGGGTCCCTATTACTCGAACCTTTCCTAACCCATCTCGCCTGCCGACCCGCCCCGTATTTTATTCTTGTGCTTGTTCTTTAGTCCTATTTGGCCTTTTTTATACCCGTGAGAAAATTACTCCAAATTCAAAAAACAAAAAAGGGAGAAAAAAAAAAAAAAAAAAAAAAAAAAAATCCCAGCAACCTAAAAAAAAATTCATTAGCAAAAACTAAACGAGCTCAACACCAGTCCAAATCGGCAGTTCTTCTCTTCTTTCCAACCTTCCCGAAGCCGTCGCAGATCATTATTCCTCTGTTTATGCGTTTTCCCCTTCTGGGTGACCTTCTTTGTCCGGTTCTCTCCCGGCTCCCAGTAGTCGTGAATCACCTACTGGTGTAACTCCTGTTCGCTTCCCCTCTCAACCTCTCTCACACCACCCTTGCTCAGTGTCACCCAAAGGCCATTCTTCCTTCTCCCTCCTCGCCACTTTCTGGACCCTCCCTGCGTCCTCTCCGCCCCCGCCCCCTTTCACACGAAATCCCCGTTTCATCATGGGTCTTTTCAAGCGCAAGGACTCCAAAAACTCGATCCATACCGAGAGGGATGAACAAGAATCCTTTGTGTCGGCTAACAGCGCTCGTACATCCAATGCCTCATTGAAATCTCCTGGTTTCAAGGGAAGTGGCAGTGGCTTGCCCGCTTCCATCCCGGAAATTTCGATTGCCAAACCGCCCGACCCAGCCTTGGACCCTGCAGCTTACCTGCGAAGCATACATGCTGTTCGAGAGCGTTCTAGATTCGTCTTTGGGAAGGCGAAAAGAAACAAGCTTAACCATTTCGATGTTGATATGAGCAAGTTCGAAGCCACCGCGTCCTACATTGTGTCCATCATCAAGGTGAGCAAAACCAACTATACATAACCGCCCTCCCCTCCTCTGGCCATAATGTGATGTTCTCGATTTGACTAACTGTCTGAATTGCACGTGAAGAGAGATTATGCTCCAGACTATGATTCGATTCCTCCCCATGGTCGCTGGCAGCACTTCGATGTTGGTGGCCGACCCCGCATCAATCAGCTGCTACAGTCCTGGCCTAGCACGATCGATGCGCAAGAACGAACTCGGCGATTAATCGACCTCTTCGTAGTTTCCGTCCTCTTGGACGCTGGTGCTGGAACTAGATGGTCTTACAAATCGAAGGAATCTGGCAAGTTCTTCTCGCGGAGCGAGGGGCTGGCTGTTGCTACACTTGAGATGTTCAAGAGCGGACTTTTCAGTAGTGACCCTACCGAGCCATGCCAGGTGGATGGCGCCGGCTTGAAAAAGATTACGGTAGAACTGCTGGCGAAGGGCATGCAACACTCGGAGAGCAACCCATTGGCAGGTATCGAAGGTCGTGCGGGACTCTTGATTCGACTCTCCGAGGCATTGAATAATCAGGATTTCTTCGGGGTGGATGCTAGGCCAGGGAACATGCTAGGTAAGTGACCAACTGGCTGGCATACTTGATTGGATGGCCTGCTAACGAAGGTCTCCTTCAGACTATCTTCTCTCACACCCCTCGACACAAGCTTCATCGGTCCCTATCATTCCTATTACAACGCTATGGTCCGTCCTTATGGACGGGTTGACGCCAATCTGGCCGCCTTCCAGAACACAAATCGATGGGCTGTCAATCGGAGATGCTTGGCCATGCTCTGACTTACCCCCATCCCCTCCCGCGCAACCTTGGGAGACTATTGTCCCATTCCACAAACTCACGCAGTGGTTGTGCTATTCCATCATGGTTCCGATGTCGAAACTGATGAAGATTCATTTTGCCGGCAGCGAGCTCCTAACCGGTCTTCCCGAGTATCGCAATGGCGGCCTGTTGATCGATATGGGTTTGTTGACTCTCAAGGAGGCTGATTGTCAACGGGGCATTGCTGCATTCAAAGAGAATGCGCAGATCAAGGGTCAACCAAATATGGAAGTTGTTCCTCTTTTCTCTACCGACGATGATGTAGTCGTGGAATGGCGCGCCGTCACAGTTGGGTTTTTGGACGAGCTGCTCGTGGCGGTAAACTCTCAGCTAGGGTTGGTTGGAGAGGACCAGTTAACCCTTGCACAAATGCTCGAAGCTGGATCATGGAAGGTAAGTCTTAGTCGTTTTCTCCAACCCTATTGCACTTTGCTGATGGATTCTTAGGGCGGCCGGGAGATTGCCGAGGTATCGAGGCCAAACACTAAGGAACCACCGATTATGATACGCTCCGATGGTACTGTTTTCTAATGTTTAGCATACCCTGTCGATTCGTGATACCTGACTCCGCCAGCTATACCTGTTTATGGGTGGCGGAAGTCCTTACGACCTTTTAATGACCATATGCTTATGCCTTCCGTTCTTTCCACTTCACTCCATCGACATATTTGCGAAAGGAGCTATATCTTCTGCTGTAGAGCTACTATTTGGGATGGTGATACATTCTTGTACATTTCTTTTTTGGGGGGGGGGGGATGTCTCTAAAAGCATTGACGACCTCGGGACTGGCGACAGATTTACGTACTGCCTGTGAGCTGTGATCTGACGCCACCCGTTATCTAATATTACGCGCTCCCTGATATTCAAGGAAGCGATACGGCCTTTTAGTCTGTGTGGCCTTGTTCTAACATGTCAATCCAAGCATAATTGACTTTCTAGATCTTAAAGGTGGAATCGCCTCGAAGGCGATATTTTTGGGGATAGTAGCGTAGTCAGTCTACAGACAATAGTGTAGTATAATGAAATTCATTATAGCCCGGAGCTAGAGGCTCATGCTAGCCATGGATACTCTAACCTTATCTGAAAGCCTTACGCCTCAACACTAATGTCAACTGCGCTAGTTTTCCAGTACACTGGTACGGTGAAAAGGTAAAATAAGCATCTGGACGCCCTGGCTCCTTTCCGAAAGAGGAAGGAAGGGGCATGTACCTAAGGTAACCGTGGACCAAGGACCTATTAAACAGACTCCTATCTCAATTTCGGCCTTTACCTAGCAGTAGTAAAGGTAATAGGAATAATATGACATGTTCATGCTTGGGTATCTAACACAATAAAGAGCTTGACGATATTCTGACAATTTTTGCCTTCCTTTCCCCCGCCCTGTCGCTTTTCTTTGCTTTTCTTTCTTTACTTTTTTTGGTTTTCATTTGGTTGGGTGATACTACAGTTAACCATTTGCATGAGAATTGTTGGCTAATTCACCGTCCGGGGATTCTGGCGCAGGAAGCGGGAATCCATCCCCGTGACCCATCGCTGCTGCTTTTGAGAATCCCTCCCTGGCTAACATTGTATTCAGTACAGCGCAGTTATACGCTGCTTCACCCGGCGGGACGACAAGGAAGATATATGTGTTATCGGTGAACCGACCCAAAAAGACATTGAACTGGGGCGTCTTGGTATGCATGACGACGAATCCGGCTGAAGCGGGCGTGGTATGGGTATTCCGGGCCGCGCAATGCTTGAACGCTTTCATTATATTGGAGAGTCGCTCGTGGCGATCATAGATCGGGTTGAGGTCGCCTATTTCCGAGGCGACGGAGGTGACGGTTAGAAAAGTCGAGCGCTCGAAGAGGATAACTTCCTCGGCATCGATACGCTTGGCGAAGGCGTGTAGGAAGCGCTCGATGACGCTGAGATTGGGAATGAGACGGTGGACGATGCCGGCCCAGGCCTTGTAGAGCGATTGGTCCCAAATGCTGCTGCCGAAGGTGTCGATGGAGAAATTGTCCGAGCGGCTGCGGATAAGGGCGGAGCGTTCTTCATAGATACGTTGGCGGTGCTCAGCTTGGATGAGATCAAGCTTGTGGACGAGACAGAAGACGTAAGCGTTCGGGCTGTACTCTTTCAAGGCGCCAATGATCGCGTGGTATGTGTCGAGGTCTCGTTCTACCTCACGGGACTCGATGTCAAAGACGTAGATCAAGACCGCGACGTCCGAGAAGATGTTCCCCCGTTGCGAGGCGAGATATGTCTCCATGAAGGCGTCTTGACCTCCGCAGTCCCACAGGTTCAGGGTCAGGTTCCCCATAAACTTGACATGGCTGTGTTCCACGTCAATTGTGGCGCCTAGCCGGCGGACATCTTTGGCAACGTAGTTGCTGAAAATAATTGATCTCATGGAGGATTTTCCCGAGCCACTCTTCCCCATTAACAGCACCTTTCTCTTCTTCTTTCGGACGTCCATGGTTGCTGGTTGTTGGGGTCGTTCCGGAGGTTGACTGTACCCCGCAGAGTGCGGGTAGTGGTTCTTTTAGTTCAATGGGGGAAACGGGGGCGTGGTGGCTTGGTTTCGGGCATCGGTTGTGTTCTTTGTTGGATCAATTGCTGGCGTTTGAGCTAAGGCGGTGTTATATGCACTTTGCTCTAGTGCTGGATGAGCACTTGACCAGCCCCAGCCTCATCGTTGCATGATGAGGGGAAACGATGATCCGGGATGTCACGTGTAGATCACGGGCCTTCGAGTGAGGTAATCAGTGAATACATCATTCACTGCTCTACCATCGGTTGGATAAAACTGTTGTTTTGTTATGGGTCTGCTTCGAGTGTGAAAAAATAGGCAATAGAAACTACTGTGTATTACGACTTAGAGGAATGTTTGGGGAATTGGGCGTAAAACTATATATTGTTTCACCAGTGGTTCTAGATATCGTTGGCTCTAATCCACCCACCAACATTTTAAACATTTGATGTAATCATCAAGTTTGCAAAGATTGTAGAGATAATATATAGTAAGGAGTGGCTGCAAGTCATGATAAAGTGTTCATTAACTAGTTCTCGTCTACTCATCGTTATACTGACCGTTCATTCGGCTAGCCGAGCCATCCCCATAGTACACCTCATACCACAGACTTCATAAGTTGAACGAGCTTGTCTTGCATATCACAGAATATATTCACAGCCTGTATATGCCAGTTAGTTAATATAAATGGTTTGAAAACCGATAGTCCAATCCACGTACCTGAGTAAGCTTTTCCTCACTTGCCCCATGGAGGTCTCTAGTGAAAGCAAGACGATATGCCGATTCATCATTGACGAACGACACAGATGACAAAGGAAGTGCCACAGAAGCTTCACTGTCGAATAGAGACTGGATCTGAGGCGCAGAACCTGGCTGCGAAAGCTGCTGCAAGAGATTCGGTGCGATAGTGATATGATCTACACCGGCCATCGCAAATATCTCATCCGTCGAGGTTAAACTGGCCGGCAGAACCTGTGTTTTAGCATTGATCGATTTGTAGTACTTCTGGATGGCGACACAGAGAGGTAGCAGCTTGTTCGGATCCGTGAAGCTGAGTGAAAATATCAGTGGTAAATTCCTGTACTATGTTTCTGAAAGGCTTCCCGGGCCTGCAACTCACCCTGGTTCAAAGTGGACCTTGAGTTGATTGACATAGGGTGCAATATATGTGCAGCCAACTTCCGCAGCGAGCACCGCCTGCGTTAGGGTAAAGAGAGTGGTAGCCAGCGTGCGTACTCCAGCTTGTTCAAGGGTCCGACAAGCTACCATACCCTCCCATGTACTTGGAATTTTGATGCAGATGCGCGACTGCTCGAAACCTGGCTGTAAATACTGGAAAAGCTGAATGATTCCTGGGAGAAGGCGAGCGCCAACCTATTAGAGAAGACATGTCGTTGCAAAATTAGATAATATCTTACTGAGAGCGTTGACAGTGGTCTTCTCGACCGAGTAAGAATAGTAAGGGTTTGTCTGGATATGGACATGGCCACTGATATGAGGGGCAATTCTCAAGGCCAGTTTCACCATCTATACCCTTCGTTAGCCCTACTGGAGTATTGACACTAGTTTTATCATATGATAGAATACCGCTATCTCTACAGCTAGCTCCTCCAAGGAAAGGCCCGGAAACCGAGATAGGAGATTCCTTGCCTCTCCAACAGAGGAGATGATCAATGCCTTATGCTCGGGTTTGGAAAGTTCTCCGTAAGCGATGGCTTGGTTGGAAGTACAGTCTTGAAATGGACCTAGAGTTCTGGCAACTAAAGGACTATCAATACAAAGTTCGATACGTGCCACTCAGGAAACTTTACATAGTACATGGAGCAAGTACCTTCTTCATCCATGGTATCACAGTCAACAATAGTTCTCGTACGAAGGGCATCCAAGCCTGTTTGAGTAGCCATATTGATAGTTCGATCTATACTGACGATAATTGGCAGAAAGACAATACAGGTGATGGGTAGAGGGCTTGATGGACCGTATAAGATGATTATGATGAGAGAGGAGATGGAAATGGCATGAGTGGATGATACACCCAGTCAAGTGAACAATGAAAGCTTGATAACCCCAATTCCCCTCATTCTTCACCTCCACATCCTCTCTGCTAATTAGCCTAATACGTCACTCGGGTAGCAGTAAATCAGCCGTCAATCGGCCCGATTTCGAATAACTTCTCCCCGATCATTATTTAGCGAGTTGTGGAGCCCAGTCCTCTACCTAGCTTCAAGAGACGGGGAACCCTCTTTGCGCATCAAAGCCACCGAGGTGCACCCCATTGCCGGTGTTGACAGGTAAAGCTGTCTGACTGCTTTGTCTATAGCTAGCAGACAATGTAGTATTAAGACCGGAAGTGTATTCGCAGTCTCGCACTGGCCACTACAGATTTTCAGCGATCGCTGCCTTCAGTATACTCTGCACGCACATGCAAATTCACGCAGGTCTGACATGGCAAACTTCGCAGAGAAAAATGTCTAGTAGTGGTGTTCTGGCAATTTACTTGGATTACTTGCCCGTCCTACGCGCTTGCTTTGTCGTGACCTGCTCATTGATATACTTAAGATGATATGTAACCCTGATATGAAACCCGTCCATCTCATGGAAAGAGAAGAATGGGCGATTAACGACGGGACAGAACTCCTTCTCAGGATCTTGTAAACCTCGGCGGTCGCGACAGAATGCCGAAACCAGTGAGGCTTGCTTAGCACGTCAACATCATCCCATGCAATTGTGGTAGACAACGTGGGCTGAGACCCTTGGGAGAAGAAAAGAAGAAAGGAAGAAAGAGAGAAAAAAACACACACATGAGAGAAAACCCGGAATCGGTAAGCGGAGGTGGAATGGAAGAAGAATCTTCCGGGTAGTAATCCAGCCCTTCTGATTCGCTGATTCTTCGAAACAGCCGTGAGTCCCGTGACTGGAACCTAAGCCCGAGGTTGTCCGTCCCGTGATTCCGAAGCGTTACGAGAGTCGGGAGTTCGAGGCGTCTTTCTTCCTGGACGACGACGGCTACTTGTCTGGATTATCAGCTCTGCACCGTTGAACGGATCCCTAAAACACATCATGATTTCTCAGAAGGTTGCTCAGCAATCGCTGCGGCGGCGTATGTGCCCCTTTGGATACTTTATGTTCAAATTGAGCACCACTAATTTGTTGCAGTTGCCGTCCAGCAGCCCTATGCCATGCGCTGGTCTTTGATGAACTCCGCAACCCCCGCTGCTGTCGCTATGGGACGTTTTATGCAGACCAGGTGAGTAGTATATTTTCTTGGTTTACCTCTGCCACTTTTGCGACAGTATCTGCTTTAGAGGGTTCGCATGGATCGCTACGTCATGGGAATCCAATTTTACCAGGCGTTCGAATAACAAGGCATATGTACGGCCATCAATGGTATATAGATGCTAATTTAGACAACCAGGCAAGCTGCTACTACCTCGAACACCTCTGACCCCACCAAAATCCTTGCGCAACAGCGTCTGAACCGTCCCGTTTCCCCTCACCTTTCCATCTACCGCCCCCAGATCACTTGGATCGGCAGTAGTTTCCACCGTATTACCGGATTCGCCCTTTCTGGCTCTCTGTATCTTTACGCGACTGCATACCTTGCCTCGCCCTTGCTCGGCTGGCATCTGGAGTCGGCCTCCGTGGCCGCTGCTTTCGCTGCCCTTCCCATTGTTGCCAAGGTCCTTCTCAAGGGTGTTATGGCTCTTCCATTCACCTACCACTGCTTTAACGGAGTGCGTCACTTGGTCTGGGATCTTGGTAGGGGAATTACCAACCAGCAGGTCATCAAGTCTGGTTGGACTGTTGTGGGCCTGAGCGTGCTCAGCGCCCTTGCTCTCGCCTTCCTGTGATTTTCTTGTGTCATACCTATTAAGCTGATCTTGTTTCACTAAAACTGTTTTCTATGCATTATATCTTATCCCGGTCAATTCAAACTGATTTTTGAATTTCATGATTATTCCTTTTCAGACATCCATGGTTCTGGGCTTGGGGACGTAGATCACCTAAAGATCGCAGGCACGAAAGGGTGAACAACAAACAGAGACTGAATATTTTAGGAGAGCCAGCGTTGTATTTTCAATGCCGTGTCCCAGTTTTCCATGTTGAAGGATTTCTAATGTTCTATCGCAGCGCATCTAACATGGATGTAGATAAGACTTGTGTGTGAATTATAAGTTTGGCATATGTCTAAGCTTGTTTTCCTTCTAATTTATGGTTATCGGTTCCGCTTTTCAGACAGCGTTGTACACTGTTCAATGCAAGGCTCTTTCCATATCACGAGATATGTCCCGCTACTTCCTTGCTTGTCCGCCGGAACATATACATTCTTTCTCATGAAACACCATCTGGCATTATCATTGTACAGGTGCTTTCTAAAACTCTTTGGTACTCTACACCACAATCGTCAGCGTTTCGAACATTAGGGTTGTTATTAGATCTGCAATGGACGGCCTTATGCGTGCTGTCTTCTAAGACACGACCAGTCCCGCCCATGAAAGAAGCATTTCAGAGACTCACCCACTGCGTCAATTCATGTTAAGAATGATATTATTGCCCGAGAAACAAGGCTCCGAATCATGCAGGGCTCGGTGGCGGGTTAGGTGGATAAGGTGGTGGTGAAGGTGGATCTTGGACAGAGAAATCGCTCAGTGTGATATCGATAATACTCTTGAGACACTGTTCCGACTGCTTATATCTCAAAAAAAAGTTGAAGCTACTGTCGGTGTCCTGGCATGCCATGTTAAATGAGGTAGCCGACATTATCAGCACAAGTTGTTTATCAACTAGCTCGAGATGCTCAAGAGATATAAGAAGATAAAGAAGCCCGCTGTCGTCTGAGAAGCCAAAGTGTCTTCGTTCCTTTCAAAAGAGTTCTAGTAAAGTAAGTATTCGAATGCTTCGACGTCCGTTTTCTAAACCGTAAAACGATTTCTCCCAATACCCCGCTACCACTCACCGTTTAATAGCCCCAGCTCATCAGGCCAATTTCCGACTGGCGGCTTCTTCTGAGAAATTGTACACCGCCATCCTGCCTTAAAACGTCCGATCAACGGGAAATGGCCGCGTGGATCTGACACTTCCGTCACTCTAACAACGGTCTTCGCAAATGAATTCAGATCTAGAAGGATACTTAGTCGGCTGCTCCTGCAAGGGCCCGGCGGAAGACTAATGTATAATACATTAGACGGTGTACAGAACACCGATGGCCTCCGGCCTTTGCCGCGGGTTGGTTCTTGGTAACGGCAAACTAGGCCAAACAGATTCAGCGGCATTGAATTGTCTGGAAACAGACCGTTTCTTCGGCTGCCTTGACTACCCCAAGCTGCATGTTCAGTCTTGGTTGGTGATGCCTGGAGAAATATGCGGGATAGCTCTCCGGCATACTTCAACAGATGAGCTGGTAAATGCATGTTGTCGCTGGTCAACCCTAGGATGATCTACTTTAACAGAGCAGCCAACGGGAGGTGCTGGCTATGAATCTTGATAGATGAAGATCCAAAGAGGCAAAACCATCCTTTTCTGATTATATTGGTAACCTCAATAAGGGCTATGGATACCAATCACGACTCCGATTTCTTCGATGAGCTCGGGTGCGTTTGACAGCACACGTATACAGCATCATCGGATTTTCAGCTAACCTTTCAGAAAAA